ATAAATCTAGAATTTCAGCTGACTACTCACTTTTTATCAAACAATGATAAACCAATTGTAATCTGCAAATACCTATCAAACTATTTCTCAAAAGTAGATCCAAGTAGAGTACCCATTTCCATCAAGTCTAATTACCGTAAATACTGTAATAGTACCCCACCCCTCTCGTACAGTCGCGTAGTCGCAAAAGTTTTTTAGTATTTCATTTTCTTCAAAGCGCCCGTAATTTCAAAAATGCATCTTTGGTATCAAAAAATAGTTGAAATTCAGGGCTATTTTTTGATAACTAAGCGCGCATTGTAGCATAAACCAGTGTCGAGAAAAACTCGTTCAAAGCTAGACTACGCAACGCTCCGCATCATCACTATCTTTGGTATCAAAAAATAGCCCTGAATTTCAGCTATTTTTTGACACCTAAGCGCGCATTGTAGCATAAACCAGTGTCGAGAAAAACTCGTTCAAAGCTAGACTACGCAACGCTCCGCAACACTCCGCACCGTCATTTTCTATGTTCAGAATAAAGATCATAAGAAAGTAAGCTTAACGAGAGTAACAAGTGTGAAACTTGAGGGGTGTTTAGGGAGTTGAAAGAAAAAGAAAATTTGAAAAAGAGATGAATGAACGAGTTTGAGCGGTTTCCATATCAGAAAGCTGAAAGAAGAGAGAAAAGCCCAAGGGACCGATTGAATGGATGAGAAGATGGGTGAAGTGAGGGGAAGGGCTGACTCGTCCCTTCCATTCCATTCCTCCCCACTTACTCATCTGCTCGTTAGGCGTGGATTCATCCCATTCCATCATCTTCTTTTTCTTTTCATCTCTTTCCAGTCATTCCCCCAATTTGTCATGTTCGAAAGTGGGTCGATTACCGGAGCAATGGAAGTTTCAAAACTTTAACAAGGCCAATTTTCGAATTTTGCCAATGCCTGCTTTAAATTTTGCAATTTTGCCAATACCTGTTTTAAATTTTCACATAATTCTCCTTCTGATTTACGCAAAAAGCTGATTTACATAAGATATTGAATGAAAAAGAAGAGCATTAATCAATTAAGAATGAGATTCAGAGCTTCAAGTTGACTGCAGCTTCAGAAATTTCACTGACTAGCAAAAGGATCAGTGTAATTTCTAGTATAAAAAGATACAAGAATTTATGTATCGATGATTAGCTAAACAAAAGACAAATGCTTTTTCGAGTTTTAGAGAGTTGAAGGTAGGGAGAGGCTGTTGTTTGGCGGTACTCCTTCCTCTTGAGGGGTGCGCGAGATCTCTTTCATTTACCCCTCTCATCAATTTGATGAGATCTTTGTGATGTTCTTCCTCATTTTCTTTTTGCCTACCAAATACTTCAATATCGGGGGGCAGCTGACATCAAATCCCTCTCGAATATTTGAGAGACATTGATAGGGAAATCGTGAGGAAAAGAGATGAGGTGTAATTATGAGTTGATCAGAAAGAAGAAGTAAATGAGTTGTTAGTTCGATAAAGATTTAAGATTCAAATTTAAATCTATTCAGATATTCTTTGATTATAGTTTACATTCTAAACAGGATTGTTTCAAGAAAAGAAGCCAGAGAGCTTTTGGGTTAAAGTAAAGCCTTAAAGCCTAAAAGCCTTAAAGCCTAAAAGCCATAAAGAAAAGAGTTACGATAAAATTGGCTGAAAAAGACTTAAAAAGAAGCATAAAGAAATCGACAAAAAACTATAAAAAAGCAAACTTTGTACTGAAGTAATTGTAGAGAAATCAAGTTATAAAATCATTTCCGAATCATCAGCAAAATATCGTTTGATATGAATATGAAATTGACTGGGTGATGCCTGAGGGTATACAGAGATTATAATTCAAATATATTCAGATATTCTTTGATTATAATTTGCGTTCTAAACAGGATTGCTTCAAGAAAAGAAGCCAGAGAGCTTTTGGGTTAAGGTAAAGCCTTAAAAAATTTGCTAATTCGCTTAAAAAGATTTAAAAAGAAGCATAAAGAAATGGTCAAAAAAACCATAAAAAAAGCAAACTTTGTACTGAAGTAATTGTAGAGAAATAGAGTCATAAAATCATGGCGAAACTACTAAGTGTATCTTTTTGGAAATTTGGTTATAAGCCTAATTTTTGATTCTCTACAACTTTCCCATTGACATCAAAATGGGTTTCTTTTGAAGAAAGTGCTCAAACTGGGACATCTCCAGTCCTCCATTTTTGAGTCTCACACTTGTCTCACACACAAACCAAAATTCGCAAATTGCCAAAGAGGAATCCGCAAATTGCCTGTAAAATGGGCAGAATTTAAACTGAGTGCGGGTAATTGTGTGCCACCCTGTATTTATATGTGAGTTAATCAAAGCTTCAAAATTGTCATCAACAAAATATCGTTTGATATGAATATGAGCTTTTAGGTTAAGGTAAAGCCTTAAAAAAATTTGCTAATTCGCTTAAAAAGACTTAAAAAGAAGCATAAAGAAATCGACAAAAAACTATAAAAAAGCAAACTTTGTACTGAAGTAATTGTAGAGAAATAAAGTCATAAAATCATTTCCGAAACATCAACAAAATATCGTTTGATATGAATATGAAGTTGACTGGGTGATGCCTGAGGGTATACTGAGTAATTTGTTATCAAAGGAAAGTCCAGATGGTGGAATGACACCTGAGGATACACAATCCACGCAAAAATCTCTTTAGTCTATTAATTTGATGACAATAATTGGATTTGAGAAAAAATCGAGTGAATCGAGCAAACTTGGGAATGAAAAGATTATAGAATGAGTTTAGAAAGTGAAATAATGACAAGATTTCGAAGGTAATCTTCAAAAGCTTATTTAAGAATGTACGAAACAAGTTAGAGATAAGGATCTAGAATGAAAATGGAATGAATTCTGAATGAAAATCTCGGCATCTCTGGAGTGCCCAGGTGTGACACTTTTGCTCAAAAATTTGGTCATGTTTACTCAAAAATGCGTACGAGTTCTTTTGTTCTCACCCTTTTTTTTCTATCAACTAGCCTTTTTTCGAGCCAAGATGACCTGTGTTCAACTTGCTTAGACTGACGGAATCTATGCAAATATTGAGATGCAGGTAGAGATCTTGAGAGAGATCCACACAGATACTTGACCTAAGCAAAATGGAAAGGATATGAGAGAAGTTTGCAAAAATAAAAGAAAAAGGAAAAGAATTTATAAATACAGTCGAATATAGATATAATGAAACCCAAGGGACGGGCTAAAATGTTTGTTATATCAAAAGTTTATTGTATCGAAGTTCGTTATATTAATTGATTATAAAAGACCAGCGGAAAAGGCTTGGGAGGCGGGAAACCCATTCAAATGACTAAAATTACCGTAAGCTTGCCTCCCTTTTTAAAAATAGACCTGAAAGTCAGATTCAGCATAGCCGAAAACCCCTGGAAGCAAAGCTTGGGAGGCGGGGAACCCATTCAAATGACTAAAAATACCGTAACTCACGTAAGCTTGCCTCTCTTTTTAAAAATGGACCTGAAAGTTAGATTCAGCATAGCCGAAAACCCATGGGAGCAAAGTATCGCGCGCAAAAGCTAAATACTTTTCCTTTTAACCGATAGAGCAAACGTAGTTACGGAGCTTCGCGTTTACGCACGGACGGACAGACGGACGTTTCTTCTGCTTTAGATATAGTTGATATGATAATATATAATATAATAATATAAAAGAAATAAACCAAGGTTGTTCAACCAGTTATATTGAAATGTATTTATCCATAGCCAACAAGTCGTGAAAATTTAACAACAATATTATTAGTAAATAATCATTTCTGAATAACAAAATGTTAAAGTTTAACAAAAAAAATTAGTTAACTGTGATTGTTTCTTGCTATTTAAGGCCTGATCGTAGAAATTTTCGATTTCATTTAATGCTTTGAAAACATCTTTATTCCCCGACGTTTTGCATATTTCTAAACATCTGAAAGTATCGATAGGCCCTTCAACTTCGACTTCTCCAGTTTCGCTTCTGGATAAAAGTCCTTCTAGATCTTTTCTCACAATTGGTATTTCTTCTAGAGTTCTAATTCCAATCAGACAACCAAAGCCGTTTCGAGCTCCTCAAAGTTGCTCGTCTCCAACCTCACCCGATCTGATTGTCCTCCAGCAATTGCTTCCAACAGTTCTTGCTTCTTTCCCAAAACCGTCGCAATTGTCGATTTAGGCAGCTTAAAATCCTTTACCAATTGAATCGCTTGTTGATGCATCAATGATTCGCTTGTTCAATTCAAAATCAATTTTTCGAGTAGAACTCGCTCGCTTCATCACCTAAAAAAATCACCTTGTTTCTTTGGTAAAACGTTTTCTAAACGATGGAATCCCTACAGTAAACCCAAATGGGGCAGTGGTTTTGGGAGGAAAATTTGAAATTCCTTGTTTTACATGGGAAAATGGGACAAGAGAGCAAATGTATGAACGAGAAAAACGAGATTTCAAAGAAGAAATCGAGAAAATTACTGATATCGAAAGTTTCCCGAAGAGGCGAATGAAGCGATGATGATTATAAGATATTTAGAGGGGATAAAATTCAATGAAAATGATCAGGAATTTTTGAACAAAGAAGATTACCGTATTCTCTCTAATATTAGTGCACCCCGGCGAGCCGAGTTGAAGACTATTTTACGGTTTCCAAGCTTTTGCAGAAGCTCAACACTCAAATCCCCCACAAGATCTCATCGTCAGCTACATTTTCCGACCCCACATCGATAGGTTCTGATAAGCGCTTTTCGAGATTTCGAGCAATTTAGGCAAAGCTCAGGGTGCACTACTATCAGAGATTACAGTGTTGAGCTTCTGCAAAAGCTTCGAAACCGTAAAATAGTCACCAGCTCGGCGGGGTGCACTACTATTAGAGAAAATACGGTATATGACCTATGAAATTGAATCGGATAAGCATTGCAGAAGTGAAATTTATTATGAGATACATTCGAGACAGATTTGTGTTTAACTTCATGAAGTAAATTCTCATTATTGTTCAAGAAATTTATTTCATGTTTTGAAGAATATCTCTTCCGGAAATTTCCCCTCAACTCCAGCTTGCTTTGTAAGAAACACTTGGCCGAATTGTGACTGAAGTTTTGCGGCAACTGTCTGGAAAGAGGATTTTTGATTAAAAACTGAACCGATCATTTCTGTCAATCATTTCTTTCTCTCCTAATTTTCTTAGCTCACTTGCATACACATTGGTATCATCATCAACTCGTTGAACTTCACCAAAGCCACTTTTTCATCTTTGAATCGAATTTTGAGATGCTAAATTCTTTCATATTATAGATTTAGCTTAACTAAAAAAGGATTACGATAGCTTAAAAAAATGAATCACAAAATTCAAACCTCAAGCAATATCATGGTGTACTTGTAGAAAGCTTTTCGTGTCACTTGTGAACTGATCTCTCGGAAACCGATATCTAAACCAATTCAATAAACATATTAGAGCTTGTAGAATTAAAAAAATGATACCTGAAGAAAATAAAATGATCGCTTTAAGCAATAGAAATTCTTCATCTCTGATTTCAGTTCTTTTCATCATTGGAATCACTGTATTCAATCCGTAATAAATATGAAAATAAAAGGTTTCCTTGAATCTAAAATCTTTTTAATTATCTAAATTTTCAATTATTTTATTAGAAACTCACTCATCTAAAATATGCAATTCATCGATTTTCGCATGAGAACCAAAAGTAGTGAGAAGGCCGCCAGTGAACGAGTGTTTGTAGGTCATGAAGTAGTCGGTGAAAGGGCCCAATTGCCCGATTAAACGCGCGAATAGGTTTATCTGAAAAGTTAGAACTTTGTAAAATGTATTTTATTTTCATTTAAAATACCCGATCCTCTTCGTGGAGATTCCAAAATTCGGGAATTCCCCGACACCAATCGGCACAATGCATCGATAAACGGGCACACAGCCTTCCACCAAGTGTTGCCAAACAATTTTCCGGGATCTTTGGCGGATTCGATCCGTCGATTCCCATCTAAAAGCACTTTTAGATGGCTGGGCTGGTTCTATTGTCAAATTTTCAAGAGCATACTCATGATAATGGCTTTTGGCTTGGTCAGGCTTCGCGCTAAAAACTTTGCAAGCCAGCCAGGTTTAACCTTAGGCTTAGACTTAGGCTTAGACCAGGGTCAGGCCATGCCCATAGCCTTGGCTGCTTTTAATCAATCAAAATTCCTACCGGTACTCGTTGACACAAAACCCCCGGATTCGCTAGAACATCCGTTATCGAGACATCCAATGAATAGGTGTAATCAAGGACAATCGACTTTGCCAAATCATCGTTTGAGATTAAACTGAAAAATATTTCAAAAGAAGTGGTCGAGAGAAAAAGACTCAGATGGGCCAGCCACGTAGCCAGAAGAAAAGACGACAGATGAACGATACGGATCACAGAGTGGCTACCACGAGATGAGAAGAGGCCCATCGGAAGACCAGAAACGAGGTGGAGCACAGGAGTGGCAGAGACGGTCAGAGAAAGGATGGCTAGAGTGCAACCACCACCAGCACAAGCAAGTCAAGACTTCGAACCAGGAACAGCCAAGATAGGAAACACTGGATGACAATAGCAAGGGATAGCGAAATGTAGAAGCAGGTTGTGAGCTGCGCAAATAGGAACACCTAAGTGCGAAGACAGATCAAACATTTCAAAACTCATTTGCTTAAGCTAAGCTTCACCTTTCTAGATTCAAAAGATTTCTGATGGTTTCAACTGAATCACAAGGGCCAACAAAAACCGGAGCCGAGAAGCTCTGCGCTGCTATTTGGAGCTCTTTCTAAAGAAATTTTCTCATGTTCGAATGTTTTTGAACGTTTTTTTATGATCTCTTTTTACCAACCAGACCAATATTTCCACTTGTACATGGTTTTTTCAAAATTTCTCCATTTTTTGGTCTTCCCCTTGGTTTTAGTCCAACTTGAGCTCTCCTTTCTCGTAGAAAACAGCCACGACGACGAGCTGGTCCTGAGTTTTTCTTTAGAATTTCTTGTAAATATTTAGAAAAGTAAAGACAGAGCAATGTTTTATCAAGTAAATTTACGGTTACCGTATTTTCTCTAATAGTAGTGCACCCCGCCGGGCCGAGTTGGTGACGATTTTGCGGTTTTCAAGCTTTTGCAGAAGCTCAACACTCAAATCCCCCACTAGATCTCATTGTCAGCTACATTTTCCGACCCCACATCAATAGGTTCTGATAAGCGGTTCTCGAGATTTCGAGGAATTTAGGCAAAGCTCAGGCTTAGGCTCAGGCTTAGACTCAAGCTTACTCTGTAAGTAAGTCTGTAGCTCTGTAAGTACCGTGTTTTCCATGCACGAGCCGAGTTGATGACATTTTACGGCTTTCAAAGTTTTGCGCCGAGCACCTATTTTGCGTTGAGTTGATGCCTACTTTAATCACACTTTCTGGATCCATAGAGAAATGTGGAAGCAAATTGTGAGCTACGCAAATAGGAACACCTAATTGCGAAGACAGATCAAACTCAATTGCTTAAGTTAAGCTTAATATTTCCACTATAAGTAAATTTACGGTTAATCACACTTTCTGGATCCATTCCTGCTCGAAGCGCTCTCTTGTAACGACACGAAATGCATTTCACTTTCCCTGAAATCAATTTCTAGTTGATTTTTATAAAACAGCATGGAAAAATCTCTAAAACAAACCAGCTTTATCACAGAAAAATTTTGGTGGAACACATCTCTCGGCGTTTTGACATTTCGGGATTGGAGCTGCCGAGGTGGTGGCTCGAATGAAGAAGATCTTGCAACTGCTGAATGCTTGCAAGATGTTAGAAAGATTTCGCTGAATCTCAGAGAAATTATCATAGAAAATATGTGGAAAATGTATTGATATGGAAAAAAATTTCGTGCAAACCCACCCACAAACGATTGCCCCATAATTCCACCCGATTGCCGGTTCTCCACAAATTTCACAATCATTCGAAAGATTCGCTGTCAAATCCAAAATTTCTTCCGAACAATCGTTTGTCATTTTAGAAAAGAAATAGAGTTTTCTTTTTAAAAATTATTAAAATAAAAACTCAGCAGTATTTCTTGGAAAGAAAGCGCCAAGAAAAAACTGTACTTGCGCATATTTTAGATGAGGAAAGAAGAAAAATCGATTTTCCGGCCGGGAAATAAAAAGAAAGCCATAGAAAGTAGATCAAAGAACCAAAAAGATGTCGTCGAAAAAGGGATTAGTCCAATCTCTGCGAAGCTTTTCCTGTGTATCTCCTAGGCCAGTTATCCGGTTCAAAAAAAAACTTCAAACCGCATTTAAAGCAATCTAAACTTTGATACCAATTCTCTTGCAATACAGAGATTTTTGGAAAAGCATATTGCAGCTTTGGCATTAGTCAAAGCTTTATCAGATATAATTATTCAAAAACTCATTTTTGACTTGATGCCATTTGACTTGCTTGATGTTTTTTCCATGGTAAGCTGGTAAGCTGTAAGCTGTGAGCTGTAAGCTGTGAACTGTAAGCTGTGAAGCTGTAAGCTGTAAGCTGTAAGCTTTCCATGGTAGCTGCAAAAAAAGCTTATCGCATAAGAGATAAATGCTTTCAAATTTCAAATTTTACCGGCAGTTGCTTTATAAAGACGATTTTTTTTATTTAGCGATTAGCGTCAAATCATCTAAAGCAAGTGTCAAATCTTAAGCGTTTCAGGGTTTTCCATGAATGTTTGTTTAAAAGCCAGAGTCAAACGAGATGAAAAGGTTTCAATTTTATCAAACCGACTTTGCAAAGGGAATTTTTTTTTTGACTTTTCACCATTGAAAGTTCAAAAAATATTTGACTAGCGGGTAAAAAGGGACTAATAAAAAATGCTAAAAGCAAAACGAGCTTTTGCATTTGAAAGAATTTCAAAGGCGATTTTTTTTATTTTATTAGCGTCAGATGCCAATTTAAAACGTCCAAGAAACGATATTTAAGGTGAAATGGAATCTTCAATATCAAGAAGTTTCAATGATTCGAAAGCTCATCTTTTTCTTGTTTATTTGCAGTGCATTGAGCGCCGACTGTCAATGCCCAACAAAATGTCCGGCTGAGTTCAACGAATACAGTCCGAGCCGTTGTTTGACAATTGTGCGTGGACCGTGTAAGTGATTCGGGTAATTGAAAAGTATAAAGTTTCTATAAAGTACTATAAAGTAATATAAAGTACTATAAAGTACAATAAAGTACAATAAATTACTATAAAGTTTCAATCTAATATTCCTAGAGTAAATAGAATAATTTAGATAGTACTTACAAAGACGCAGTAGCAAAATGCAAGGCTATCGGTGGAGTGGTGGCAAAAATCACAAGTTCTCAAGAAAATGATGCTGTTTGGAAAGCAATGATGGGTATAAATGAGAAAAGATTGAAAAATTTTAAAGATTTTTCTTTTAGCTTACGGTCAGAAGAGTGGTATGTGGATTGGAATTGAGAAAAAGTCCGATGGATCGTTTGTTTATGCGGATGGAACACCAATTACTTACACAAAATGGGCACCAAGTAAGAGTTTTTTTTTTGAAGAACAATCATCAATTATCAATTATTGAGTTTGATTTTGATTTTGAGGGGAATATTTTTAGACTATTACCCATCAACGAATCCGGCAAATACTTGTGCTGTGATGGATCCATCGAGTGGTTTGTGGCTTCCGGTTAATTGTGCCGAATCGAGAGCCTACATTTGCTCAGTGGATCTTGTCCAAGGATAAGCAAAAGCTGAGGAAAAATTAAATAAAACTTGAATTGCACAGTTCAAAACTTTGGAAAGCATTTCCTTCTCCTTAGATTTGTTTTCATTTCCGTTTTTTCTTAGCTTAAAGTTCCCCATTTCATGAAAATGTCAAAAAAAATTACAATTTGAACGAGAGATTTGATTTGAAATAGAGAAATTTAGCTAAAACTCAAATTTTCTTTGGCATTCCCACGGAAGCAGACACAATTATTATTCGAAAACATTACTTCCATAAACTCATTTTGAAATTACTCACGTCAATCACGGCTTTTGACCTCGACTCTCATTGAATTGTCTCATTTATCATTCCTCGTTCTCGTATCTCGTTCAAGATAATCTCTTTCAATCAAAACATCAAATCCAGAAATTCTTTCTCAAAAATAGAGTCGAACTGAATGAAAAATTTCCATTTATCATCAATTTATTCGGTCACTTGTTCAGTTTCACGTTCAGCCGTTCTTTGTTTAAATCCCCCAAAATCCGGACACGAAAAAGTAGGTAAGGGTCGCACAAAAGAATTAAAAAACTTTGAAAGTTTTAAAAACTATTTCAAATGATAAGCCTTGATCCAAAACGTAGAAAAAACATGTTTAATGGTGAAATTATTTCTTCACCCGGATCCCATACAGAGTCTACCAAAAAAATAATATACTTTTATGTATTCTGTCTTTTACACTTTTTTTTGTCCTTCACATCATCTTATGTAGAAAAAAAATTCTATATCTTTTGGCTATAAAACTCTTCTATGTTTATTGAAAAAGAAAACCGTTTCACACCGAAAAACAGCTCTACTAGGTAGCTGATTGTGAGTTCCGGTTCCAATACGGTTCCAATACGTTTCCTATTTTGATCTAAAAGGTTCCAATACGGTTCCTTTTTTGATCTAATACAGTTCCAATACGGTTCCAATACGGTTCCAACACGGTTCCAATACGGTTCCTATTTTGATCAATACAGTTTCAATACGGTTCCTTTTTTGATCTAATACAGTTCCAATACGGTTCCTACTTTGATCTAAATTTTGGAACTTCTTTTCAGGTCAAAACACTCACCTGAATCATTGTTATACCTACAAAAATCAAAAGACAAAATACCAAAGAATTTCATGGTTTAAATTGTTAGCGAAACTGAAATGCTTGTCGATTTTGAAACACTTTATAATGTTTCAATGCAGCTGATAGAATTAATGCTATTGGATGGTTTATTTTTAAAGTTAAGTTATTCTTTTGGAAAAAATCAGAACCAGGGGCATATTAGCTGATTAAAAGCTGATTAGCTGATTAAAAAAGACTTGTATGTCTTGTATTCATTATTGTTTTGTGTCTTTTATTGAAGAGGTGACGTGAAAGTTCTTAATCTTTCATGATATGACAATAAATGTAAATTCAATCATTTAGTCATTATCAAAATTGAAATGATTTATTAAACATTTCCAAGAGTGGTAGAACTATTTAGATCGTTTAAGCTAAACGATTCATCGGAACTAAATGTCTCGTCGTTTGCGATTCGATCATCTGTTCCATCAAATCCGATTGGTCGAAAAAGTTTTCGTTGATCTATCTCCGTTATTGGCAATAAAGACAACCAATCAAATAAGTTCTAAAGATTTGTTTTTCTTTTTCAAATTTCAAAAAGTTTTTGCTACCAAATCAATAGCCTTTAAAGCGATATGCACTTCATTTGCCATTGGTCTCGAAAAACGATCAAAATTTGTGCACCTAGAAATTTCAACCTTTTCGGGAAGAGTTTCGGAATAGAGAATGATCCTTAGAAAATAATTTTGAGACGTTTTCATGTCAAATTTGAATCTCTGTCGCAAATGTTAATTTTTGCGCGACGTCGCATTCCAATTGACGTCATTTAGAGGTAGTCGATGGGAGCGCCGCGTCGTCGTTTCTTTTTCATTTTCAAATCATTTGTTTTTGTCAGATTAATTGGAATTATTGTTTTACGCGATAAATTTTGTGTTTCTCTTTGAAATGGGAAAGAAATCAATTTCCATTTGGGAGCTGATAGTGGAGAATCCGGAATTTTTCGTAGTCGGAGTATCTTAGTTCAGATATCTGGTTGATCCTACCAGGATACCTCAGGCTGAAAGACTAAGCCATGCATATCTTAGTTTGGACTTAGAAAAATTTCCAAGTCAATGCACTGTTCCCAATGTTGTGGAGAGGGATGGTTGGTTGCTTTAATTGTGAGATGCGGGAACGCGTTTCACTTTTGTAAGGCTTTGAATTGGTTATAAACATAGTATATGGCTATCTTATAAACAATTTCTCGAGGAAATGGTGAGTCAAACCGTAGTCGGACCACAATGAAGGTCAAAACTAATTGTAAGATGATTTGGGGATTTGAATGGAAACAACGAAAGCAAAGCTCATTTCATGGACCGTTGCAAAACTTGGGAAAAGTTTTGATATAAATTCATTTTTGCATTTGTCAACAACAAGGAAATTGACTACTCTTAGGTTCAGAAGTTGTCGAGATTGGATCCAAAGAAAACAGAACTTTGAAGGCTAATTAGTGGTTAAGTGGTTAAAAGAAAGTGGTTAAATTTAACCACTTTGAAAACACTACAATTAAATCTTGTCAAAATCACCATGTTTTCACCATTATCCCAAGAAATTAACAAAAAAAAAACTGACCACTCAACAAGTTGTTGAATCTCTAATTGACACCTCGGTGCCGACAACTTATTGAGTTTTTTGTGTATGATATCTGAAATGAAACCGTCTCGATTGAAGCTTCCCTTTGTTCCATACTCGGTAAAAACAGTTCTAAAGAAAACACGAATGAAAACATTCTCTCTTTGATCACCTTCTTTCAATGATTTCCCATAAAACAAGTCCTAAACCGTAGACATCGTTTCGGTGAGAGTTCTGAACAAAATTGCGTGTAAATAAACATTTTATCTTATAATTTTTGATTTAATTTGACTAATAGCAGTATAAATTAATAAAAGAATGTAAAAAAATAAATCTACATCACTTAACCTATCGTTTTTGAACCTACACGAAAACGATGAAGTCGAATGCAACGTTTCCTATTGACAATCTTTATCTAAGCTTAGAAAAGAGCTTAAATGAGAACCAACCTTAAGTGTATTCATTTCCGTTTGTTTCCCATGATTCGGTTGTGGTGGACTCATGTAACGCTGTGTTCCGGCAAAAGTCGCGGCGCTACACGTCTCATCAATAAACTTGGCTAACCCAAAATCGCCCAATTTCAAAACGAAACCCTTTGTCACAAAAATACTAAAAAGAATAATAGAAGTGAATTGTGAAACTGTTGACTTTTCTGGTTTTATGTCACGATGTATCAATTTGTGCACTCCAAACATATGAGCGAGAGCATCGAAAAGTTGTTTGGCCCATGAAAGCACCGAACTCATCGTATAGATCATTCGTGGATCAAATAACACTTGATTTTGTAGAATCGTTGTTTTAAGATTTGTTTTAACTTATTCTAGGCTCATTCAGAACATCACAGAATACAGCTTTTTATGCTTTTAAACTTTTGTCATTGCTCTAGAGTACTTTATTGGTTGTATAGACTTAAAAATAGATAAAAGCTAAGCTAACATGAACAGTTCAAAAACTCATCACCAATCTAGGATCAACGCTAGAGTTAGGTGGATATTTTCATTGTTCTAGAGTACTGTATTGGTTGTATGGACTTAAAAATATTGGGTTGTCCAGTTATGAATGCGCGTTTTTACTATTTTGTAAATTTCTCAAGATATCGAACAGATGTAGATGAGTGTTATCATTCGAATCATATATATCATTCGAAAGCTAAAGATCTCCTCTACATTTTGGAATAAAAAAGTTTTTGAATTCATCCAACTTTTTGGGAAATTGACTGCACAAAGGGAGAGGTCGTTTTCGAAAAAACCCATTCCAGCTTAGCTATTCCCCAAGTTTTATGGTGTAAAATAACCGCCCAGAAAAGAAAAGTAAAGATGCTCTGAAATTGCTATGTTTTAAAAAAAGTTGTATTGATATATCTATTGGCCAAACATCAAACGGTTAACTCAATTTGAGCGAAGCCAAAACTTGATCCAAAGACACCCTTCCATTTTTTGGCCACCTCCTCTTCTGTGCAGTCAATTTGCCCAAAAGCTGAACAAATTCAAAAACTTTTTATATCAAAATGTAGAGGAGATCTTCAGCTTTCGAATAATACTCATATATATCTTTTTCTTGATTTCGGTATCTTGAGGAATTTACAAAATAGTAACAAAACGCGCATTCATAACTAGACAACCCAATAGATAAAATCTAAGCTTAAAGGTAGATAAAATCAAAACTGAGATGAACAGTTCAAAAACTCATCACAAGTCTAGGATCAACGCTAGAGTTAGATGGACATTTTCATTGTTCTAGAGTACTGTATTGGTTGTATTATTTTTCTTTAAAGCAAACAAGCAAATCTAACCGATTTTTGAGGATTCCTCAATCTTTCTTTTAAACTCACAATCTTTTAATGATCCTTGTTCGCAGAACTCCATAATTATCCCAAATTTCATCGTTCCCTCGTCGATTTCTGTTTCGATCAGACACACAATATTCGGATGATTTAATTTCTTCAAGAATTCGAATTCTTCTTGAAATTTTAACATCTGTTGATGATCTGTTGAGTTCAAATATTTGATTGCTGCTGGGCTAGATTTGATTAGCATTGGGCTACATCGTTCAACTTACGGCAAATGTCCAATCAACTGAAAAACTTCGCCAAACGTCCCTCCGCCAACTCTTCGTTTATCATATTTTCCCTTAGCTGTGATGAGCTTAGCTAGCTGAGAATTTACATTTTCAGACAATTTCTACGATTACCCATTACCTCCTCACTACATCGATCATCTTCGTCTTTCTCAGCTTGCTCTTTTCTAGAATTGTTCACTTTAGTGGACTTGCTTATCGAGAATCGGGCCGCTTTAAACATCTATATCTTGGTAACCAAACTTTGAAAAGCTATGAAAATCATATCAATCAAAAACTCTATTTTGTAACTTTTTTTTGGTTAAAAAACATTACACGCTTGAATCAATGCTTGAAAAAAAATTTTGATGCTTAAAGATGATTTCCCGATAGAGAAGCAGAGTCAGAAATTTAGGGATTTACAAGGGAAGGTCAACCGGGTGTGGTCGACAAATCACACGAGTCATATACGATTCGACGCAGAATTGAAATCAAGTTTGAAATGGAGATCAAGTACCTCTAAAAAAGCAAGAGAAAAGCCAAACTACAGACTCGAACCTGAGAGGGTTTGTCTTGTATTCTAGTCGACTACCATTCAGCTACCATTGCTTTCAAAACTCTCTAGGATATCTCAAAGTTTTGGCATTTTAGAAATCAATCTGAAGCTCCAAAACTTTGAGCGCTTATAACTTCTGAGAGAGTGCTGCATTGCAAAACGGAAAGCATATTCGGAATCAGCACAAAATTCTGCGTCGAATAGTATATGGCTGACCTTCCCCTTGTTAGCTGAAAACTTCTTGTTCACTATTATCAAATTTGCCAAATATTTTTACCAATAAATAACAATTTCTACAAACTCTGTTCAATGGTGAAACCCCGCACTTTTTCGCTTACCGTAAATACTGTAATTGGACCCCATGGGGTACTATTTTTTCCCTCCCCCTCTAGGGTGGGGTACTATTAGAGGGTGGGGCACTATTAGAGGGGTGGGGTATTATTTTTTCCCTTCCCCTCTAGGGTGGGGTATTATTAAAGGGGTGGGGTCCAATTACAGTATTTATGGTAAGCATTGTAAAATGAAACATTCCTTTGTGCACCTTTTTGTTGTTTTTATTCTCCGTTTAATGATAAAGAAAGTCCCGCAAATTAAGATCAACAATGATGTGATGAGAAGCGTTTCAAATAATGATACGGTTTTCTTTTCCTCTATCTAAATTCTATACTAAAACTTGTTTAAAGAAAACTACTCATACCAACTTTTTAGATGGAAGTGTAGAGTTGATCGAACGACTTGGCTCTGTTGCAAACTGTGTGAGTCTAGAAATAAATCACTTATCAACAAAAAAAACCGCTTTCACCGTTCACAATCCTTGCTCGTGTTTGTTCGAAACTTTGTGAAATTGGCGAAATCACTTAAGCCGTCCTTTTCATCAAGTCGATCGATTAGTTTCTCCATGATAAGCTAACCATAAAGAATAACTAATAGAAATTCATCAAAAAAAACTATATATTTCTCATGATTAATGCAATTTTTAATGGAATTTTGAGGATTTTCTAAAGTAATAAATTAGAAAAAGCACATAAAGCAAGATAGATAAATCTCACTTCGACTACAACTTCAACTTACGTTTTCTGAAAATAAACACTCGTAACACAATAATCGGAGTTCATTTTGAATGACTTGCACATGGAAAATAGCTTGATTCGTGTCGGGTCGGTAGCAAATCAGAAGGAATTTTTCACATAAAATTCATTGAATTCATTCATTGAAACTTGAAACTCGTTGTTAGTACTGCGATAGTACGGTCGGTACTCTCACTTTACTAACACTAACAACGTAAAAGAACTAACCTTCATAGTTTTCATATGTCTTTGACATCTGAAATTCATATTTGTCAACTTTTCTTCCATTTGGCGCTTGTGTAAAAACGAAAATTGCGCCGAATGGAATTGCCATTTACCAGCGCCTTCACTTTGTGCGAGTCTGGTATCAAAATGAAGCCCTTTAATTGGGCTACATGATGGTACAAAAAGCTTTTAGAAAAACCGTTGTTTAGTACAAGAAAAATGGCCGCAAAGTGAGAGTACCGACTGTACATCGCATAATAGCAACGCACGTACCGTCTTTTGTATGGGTTTGTAGTGCTGGTACTCTCACTGCGGTACTGCGGCCATTTTTCTTGTACTAAACAACGGTTTCTCTAAAAGTTTTTGTACCATCGTGTAGCCCAATTAAAGGGCTACATTTTGGGACCAGACTCGCACTAAAGCGAAGGCGCTGTTAAATGGCAATTCCATTCGGCGCAATCTTCATGGTCCTTTTTTTTATTTCTCACTTTCATAAGAACTTCCGTGGAATCGTTCTCGTATTGACAACGAAAGCGTTTCTTGTTTAAATGACTCCATTTACGGTATTTGTCTGGCACTCGAAAACCCTCACTAAACTTGAACTTGAGTCTTTTCAAATTTCATTTCAAGCCTACGTAGGCGAGTAATATGATCCCATATTTGGCCACTCAACATCATCAGCGAACAGCTTTAGCTTCTCATCTTGAAAACATCTTACTTATTAAAAGGAAACAAATATTGTGTGCCTGTCAAAGGTCTAGAAAAGCTAAACAACCGATTCAGCTGATACGCTGTCACATAAGCCAAAAAAAACTTACGTTTCAGCGGCCAAACATTCGCTGGACACGGAATTACAACATTTTCAGTGAGATTTTCCCATTTTAAGGGATATTGTTTCACAAATACACTCGAATCTGAATTTGCTTACCATAAACACTTTACTTATACAAACTGTGAACAAAAACGTAGACCCAGTCAGGTTCACCGGGCACAAACGTTTGCTTGGTTGATCGATCCCGACACACATAGCCTCCACTATCTGTTGTTTTCAAGTCACGAAGATGAAACATGTAGCCCTAAAGCGGAAATTGATGGCCTATGGCTTTGTTTGATCAAGGTTATTTCAAATCAAATTCATCCAAAATCGAGACTGGGATGAGGTTTTTTCGGATCCACAACACTAACTAGGGAAAGGCACGAAATTCCAGTGAGCTTTCGTTTCAAGACCATAAATCTTACTAAATCGAGTATGGAAATTTATAAGCTGAAATCAAAATCTGCCAAATAAGCTTACAGACCCGTAAAAATTGAATTGAAATTTCGAAGCTTTAAAGAGTTGAAGAAAATTGAATTGAGGCTTCAAAGGGGGCTTTTCAATCACCGGAGATGGGCACGATTGGCCTAGTGGGACGGCCTCCCGGTAGTAAGATCGGAGTTCGGTCCCGCTCTTGGTTTTTTTCCTTCAGATGTAATTTTTTCTTCGTAAGTTTTTTTTTCTTCAGATGTAATATTTTACCTTGTAACTATCCAATATAACAAAATGAAAGGTGAAATGTTAACATATATGAGACGGGATCACCAAGCATCCAAAACAATAAAAATTTTCAGAATGCGAGCATCCGATAAAAGTTTTTGCTTCTTTGCGTTTTTGCTTCTTTTTTTGAATTACGATTTACATCAGAATGGGCCATGGGTAAAAAAAACTGTAAAGTCTTACATTTAAAGAAAAATAAAAACCAAAAATCAAGAAGGGGACCCAGATTTTACGACCGAGAGGCCGTCCAACTACCCATTAGGTCACCGGTGCCGATATTTCGGTCATTGAAAAGCGCCCTTCCTTTGAAGCCTCAATTCTTTAAAGTCCTGTAAAGCTTCGAAATTTCAATTCAATTTTCACACATTTGCAAGCTTATTTAGCAGATTTTGATTACAGATTATGAATTTCCATACTCGATTTAGTAAGGTGTACATCTTACGTAAGATGTAAGATGTATGTAAGATGATGTAAGATGTATGTGGTTCGGAACCGAAAGTTCACGGGAATTTCGTGCCTTTTCCCCAGTAAGCTTTATGGCATTTACGAAGTTAAGAAATTTTCTCTGTTATCCCTCTGTGTGTTGATACCTTTGCATCATAGAATACATTATATCTTCCTTCAAAATCAATCGCTTGTCGAGGAAACGCTATCCATGTTACATTGCTTAATGATTTTAGTTGATTAAGGAAAGATTTAAAACTCTAGTGGTTCGTTGCAGCGACATGCGAAAGTCATGTTCTGACCGATCTTCTTTTGAATATAACTAAAATTAAAGAAGTGATTAGATTCGTTTCTTTCTCTAACAAAATTGACAAATTAGCATCATAGTGAATTTCGTTATCGCTCATGTTACCATCATGAATAGAGCAATCTTGGGATGTGAGGTGGATAAAAGAGAACAGAAAAATGAGAATTGAAGACTTTTCCATGCACAGCTTTCGATAAGCTCTCATTGTCTGTTCATTTTGCTGCCACAATTTACTGAAAGAATACTTGAAATCTCAGAAAGTTTATAAGTCAATTGAAGTTCTAAAAAAAATAGTATTTGTTTTATTTTCTCAAGTACTACCGTAAATACTGTAATTGGACCCCACCCCTCTAATAGTACCTCACCCTAGAGGGGGAAGGAAAAAATAATACCCCACCCCTCTAAAATAGTACCCCACCCCTCTAATAGTGCCCCACCCCTCTAATAGTGCCCCACCCTCTAATAGTGCCCCACCCTCTAATAGTGCCCCACCCCTCTAATAGTACCCCACCCCTCTAATAGTACCCCACCCTAGAGGGGGAGGCAAAAAATAGTACCCCATGGGGTCCAATTACAGTATTTACGGTAACAAAGATTTTTCACCCAACACAGTACTTGAATAGAAACAATAATATATTATTAACAATAATAGAAACAATAACAATAATAGTTATTACGTGATCTACTATATACAAAAAATAAAACGTCCGTCCGTCCATCTGTTACGCCTACGCGACAATCCAAAATACGTTAACGTAAAATTACAACGAAGTGAACTAGAAGGCTGAAAATTTGTACTCGGGGGTTTTCAGAGGCGAGGAATCCGAATCTGCAATCAGATTTGTGCTACGTACCCTCAGTACCTCAAGGTAAAATATCCGGACGCCCAGTACAGCTGGTAGCTATACGTAAGAACAATTACTCTGTAATAGTTATTATACCGTTGTTAAAACTGGTCCCTGCTTTAGAGCTTTAGGAGGAATCGGCCAAGCTAAAATTTGTGGGATAACGATAGGCCAGTTTCTCAGTACAGCTGGTAAACTGGCGTAAACAATGTTAAACAAACAAAGAAAAGAACGCGCTTCGTTGTGATTTAATTTGAGGTGCAAAATTTCTAAAATATAAAAGAAAATGAAATAACTGTGAGCGGGTCGTTTGATCTCAAAAAGCGCAGAAAACAGCACAAACGAGAGCTTTCTCTACATCAAATTTGTACTCGGGGGTTTTCAGAGGCAAGGAATCCGAATCTGCAATCAGATTTGTGCTACGTACCCTCAGTACCTCAAAGTAAAATATCCGTGTGGCCGCGTAGCGGACGCCCAACATAGCTGGCTGGTGCTTACGTATAACTTCTCTGTATGTTTTATACCGTTGTTAAACTGGTCCCTGCTTTGAGCTTTAGGAGGAATCGGCCAAGCTAAAATTTGTGGTATAACGATAGGCCAGTTTCCAACAATTTACTTACTATCGAAGACGACCAATAGGCTGGTAAACTGGCGTAAACAATGTTAAACAAACAAAAGAAAAACAACGCAGCTTCGAATTGTGAATTTAATATTGAAGGTGCAAGATAAAACAATCAAAATTTCATAAAAAATATAAAAAGAAAAAGAAATAAACTGTGAGCGAGGTCGTTTGATCTCAAAAAGCGCAGAAAACAGCACAAACGAGAGCTTTCTCGACATCAATTTCTTTTATCTTTTTTCTCTCAAATTATTGAATTGAAAAAAAAAATTTTTAACTTAAAAATATTTTATATAAGCATTGGAATTGAGAGGATGAGGTTTCGAATTGAAATTTGAATTGTTGAGAATCTTTTCTTGATTCTTGTTACTTTAAAATAGAAGATTTTTGCTTTTTAGACAACTTTTGTAAAAGTTCTAGACCATAAGTTAAAAAGTTTTTAGTTTTAAATCGATGAAAACTTTTGAATATAGGCAAAAATGATTTGAACCGTGAAAACATTGAAAGATCAGTATCGTTTCCATTAATCTACAAACAAATCAATCATTCACAACATTTACATGGACTTGTATTTAGTCATTATTTCTGAAACGGTAAAATCGCCACGACAGTACTAGTCTCTACTTAAATTTTTCTAAAATCACAACCAAACATTCTGCATTCTGCATTTCTGTCATTTTAGAAATCTATAATGTTTTGGTGGTCTCCGATGACAAAAGAGGTCGAGGGATTAAACTTAAACGAAAAAGATTAAACCAAAAACAATGCTTACTCTTGTCGCCGATCCATTACGTTATCGGTGCTTTCACCAAATAGATATTTTTATATTCGCATTGTAGAAAATCATTCGAATCAGTGATTGATCCGAATCTAGCATGTGATATCTATAGTAAGTAAATTGTTGGAAACTGGCCTATCATTATCCCACAAATTTTAGCTTGGCCGGTTCCTCCTAAAGCTCTAAAGCAGGGACCAGTTTTCACAACGGTATAATAACTATTACAGAGTAATTGTTATTACGTATAGCTACCAGCCAGCTGTGTTGGGCGTCCGCTACGCGGCCACACGGATATTTTACTTTGAGGTACTGAGGGCACGTAGCACAAATCTGATTGTGGATTCGGATTCCTTGCCTCTGAAAACCCCCGAGTACAAATTTTCAGCTTTCTAGTTCACTTCGTTGTAATTTTACGTTAACGTATTTTGTATTGTCGCGTAGGCGTAACCGACGGACGGACGTTTTATTTTTTTGTATATAGTAGATTACATAATGACTATTACACAGTGGCTTAGAAAGTACATAGAAAACGATACTTTCTAAGCCACGTTTAGCAATCGAAGTTTCTTTTGACTATCAAATTGTAGTTGTAGCTAAAAAGGAGAACCATAATAAACTAGAAAGGACTCACGCATCATTTCTTTTCAAATAATCAATTTCTATATCTTGTTCAAAGACTAAAACAGCTTTGAAATGTAACAATAAGTTTCTTTTTACTATTCAAACATCAAAATCGCTCAAATAGAAGTAAATTTGTGATCCCAATAAAGCTTTTTTCATTGATTCATTGAAACTCTTCTTTCAGACTTTCCTCATTGGTCAAAAGACTCTCAATTTCAAATCATTACGACCATTTCATCAGCCTTCGCTATCATTTTCTTTTCTGGATCAAAAATCTTCTTGGCTCTCAAGGCAACAACGATGAGTGTTAACACGTTGACGACAATGGCGTTTTTGCACAAACAATCGCATGGGACAACGTTGTTTTTTTCGACAAAAAATGTCACCTGACATCAGGTGTCAATGTCCCAGGCGAACGAATATGTGTCAGACAGCATCAGGTGACAATGTCGTCAACGTATTAAGACGAAAAAGCTTTAAATGAGTCTTTTCAAGGCTCTATTGTCATAAAGGTGATTTTGAATTTCGTCTTGTGAACTTTTTTCAGACCGTAGTCCCGATGATTTTCAAATTCGATCCTGCTGGTGTTGTTTTATTGCTCCAAACCGTGAACACAACAGTTGATACGACATTTGTAACAATATTTTTCTACTTGTTTATCGTTTTTTCTCGTTATTTCTCAACTCATTTGACCTTGAGATTTAAGAAAAGTTAGAAAAAAGAACGCTGGAAAAATGGGTATTGGGAGATGATTTTTCTTGGATAATTTTACGAGTTGATCTTAGAATTTTTATAAAAAGCCGAATTCTTATAAACTTTTCTTTACTCTTTATTAGTTTTTCAAATATAAAACAAATAAAAAAACCTTTAACAACGAGATCGAAAATTTCTTTTCGCTAAAAAATTCTTTAATTCATTGACACTATCAAGTTACCGTATTTCTTCGAATAGAACACCGGGTAAAGAGTATCATCGCGTACTCCTGCGTAGCAGCCCCCCCCCCCGCGAAGATTCCCATATTTGGGATGAGCTAACTATAGGAGTTGGTTTAAAAACAATTTGGATAAATGAAATAAATGGATCGCCGACTACATTCAGCCCCAACTTTCCAGCAGGAAAAGCGGCGTTAGCCGAAAAGATTCCTGTTTAGACCATATGACTATCGATTGACATGAAGAAAAAAGAAAAGGATTATCAATTTACGAGAGACCTCAACTGGCAGCAGTTTTTCAGTTAGCAGCTGAAAAATGATGGCAACTTTACAATTCGATTGTTAAGCGTAACTTTATAAAGCTTTCTTTAGGCGCCATTCGAATACGCTTGTCCGACTGACCTCCTAACAATTCATCTTGATCCACAAGATCTTGATCCGCGAGGCAGCTCGGATCCACAAGCTGGCTTGTTTTTTTTTAGAATTGTTTAAGTATACTAGATGAAATGCCAATATGCTACTACCGTATTTCTTCGAATAGGAGACCGGGTAAAGAGTTCCAATATGGTTCCAATATGGTTCGGATACGGTTCCAATATGGTTGTTCCAATATGGTTCCAATATGGTTCGGATATCATCGCGTACTCCTGCGTGGCAGCCCTTTTTTAAATTTCTCTTCTGCATAAAAGCTTTCAATGAAGTGCTATAGAGCTGGAAAATGACTCAAAAATACCACATGAGCTAACAGATTTTTGAGCGATTTTCCAGCTCTATAGCACTTCATTGAAAGCTTTTATGCAGAAGAGAAATTTTAAAAAGGGCTGCTACGCAGGAGTACGCGATGATATCCGAAACATATTGGAACCATATTGGAAACCATATTGGAACCATATTGGAACTCTTTACCCGGTCTTCTATTCGAAGAAATACGGTAAACGGAAAAGGTGTGTTTGCTATGTTTCATTTATTGAATATTCAAAAACTTTAGTTATTTTCTATTCTCAACAAAATTCTTTGGTGCAACATTTATCCGTCTCCGTGTAGATTTGCGTTGGACCGGCGGAAACGCTTTCGGATTCTCCCTGAAATGTGGAAAGTGAAAAAGAGAAGAGCCCTGCTTTTGCGATGTCACTTTTTGTTCAAAACAAAACTCTTCTTTTTTTTTGGTCTAGTTTATACTTTGGACAAAAAAAGGATTGCACTCACATTACAGTCCTTAAATCCGTCCATTTTCAATTTTCTTGCGATCGAATTCTCCCCACATCCACAGCCGCTCACTTCAAAATCCTTGCTACCACCGCTGAAAGTGATTGTTGTTGAAATTGAAAGAGAAATTGAAAATGGCAGCCATTTAGATCTAGATAAGTTGTGCCCTGCTTGTTGCTTTACTAGGAAACAAAAAGATAAGCTATTTTTCAAATCCAAACGATAAGTTAGAGTCATTGATTTGCCACTATAGCTCAATTTCTTCGAAATACCCCAAAAAAAGATTTTGAGCTAGAATTAGAGTTTCTTTCTAAACAAACTTTCAAGAAAGTTGTACCCGCGGGTTTTCTGGGATGGAGGAGCTCGAATCCAAAGTCAGATTTCGAAAATATTTAACGGGATATAGAAGAAATGCGGCATCTTAGACCCCACAACCAGGGCAATTGGCGATCGCGCGTGTTTACGAATAAGTTAAAAAATGAAAATATTGCTTTTATGCTGGTCCTACAGAAAATATATTCCGTTTCGCCTTTTATGATTCAATTGACTCAATTGCCCACGTTATCATTTACTCATTTCTACAAGGGAATGTCACGAAATCAAGGTGGCCAATCGAAATGAGACCTAGACTATCCGACCAATTTTACGCTGATTCCGAATCTGCTGTCCGTTTTTGCTAAATAGGTCGGAATAGCAAGGAATTTGGCAAACAAGTTTTTAGCTTTTCTTATGACGCTTGCGCACGCCTGGAAAAGAAATGGTTACGTATTGTAGCGGATAACGTGTCCGAATGCAAAGCGGTAGGTCGAGGGTTCGATTCCCTTTTTTCTTTTAACATGACAACGATCGATGAAATGAGTAAAACGTGGATTTTGTCGTTGATTTTTCAAGGCTCATCCTGGTGGCAGAATTGATTTTGCCTCAGCCGTCACACAGCAAGATGAAGTTGATTTTTTTTGAAGATTTTGTAAATAGGGAGTCATGCATCGGCTGGGGAGCTCAAAATCTCCAATCTCAAAATCTCAAGCCCAAAATCTCCAATCTCAAAATCCACATATACATAAAGAACACAATTTTGCACTCCTCTATTTCACCAAAAATCTTTCCACTTTTTGTTTCTATAAATTTGTTTTGTTTTTTTAATTTTTTTAGCCACAATTTCAGTTTACATTGTTGGATTGGCCACTTCAAAAATCTTGAAAATATGTTTAATTTTTAAACGAGGAAACCCTCTTGTTGCTGCTTTCCCAGGACCGACTTTTTGGGGGTTTTTTTCTCTTATTTCAAAACAAATTGATAGAAAAAAGTAGAAAGATTTGTGGTGAAATAGAGGGATTCAAAAGTGTGTTTTTCTTGTACATGTAGATTTTGAGCTCCTCGGCCGATGCATGACTCCCTTATTCACAAAATCTTCAAAAAAATCAACTTCATCTTGTTGTGTGACGCCTGAGGCAAAAACAATTCTGAGCCTTGAAATTCTGAGCCACCAGGATGAGCCTTGAAAAATCAACAAGAAAATTTTTCCAAACTCAAACCGATGGCCACTTTTGTTCCGGATACCCTGTAAACATTAAAAATACGAATAATATAGGTCGCATAGCATTTGGCCGGCTCAGCCAGTTGATCTCCCCTTGTATGGAAGCATGTAAACCAAGAACTAAGCTCGGATTCGGACTACCTATTCCCGAAATACCCTTAGGCACAACAAGTACAAGTTTTCGGCCTGAAAAAGGGACTCGTTGATTACAAACCTTCTTGTGATGGAGCGACAAAAACCGCACGCATCTGTGCAATTTATTATGGGCGACTGAAAAGAATTTTATTATATGGATGTTTTGAAGAATTTACTTTGCTAGAATGTGAGCTAGAATGCTAGAATGCTAGAATGCTAGAATGCTAGAATGCTAGAATGCTAGAATGCTAGAATGCTAGAATGCTAGAGTGCTAGAATGCTAGAACGGACCGATCCACAGCAAAAAGTGATACTTTGTTTGGTGTTGATAGTACAATATTGTGATTTTAAATGCTTTTATTGCTTTGCTTTTCTTTTCCTTTATTTTGAATGATCTATTGTGGGTAATTGAGTGTTTTCTATCTAGTGGATGAGCTCTTCTATCTAGTGGATGAGCTCTTCTATCTAGTGGATGAGCTCTTCTATCTAGTGGATGAGCTCTTCTATCTAGTGGATGAGCTCTTCTATCTAGTGGATGAGCTCTTCTATCTAGTGGATGAGCTCTTCTATCTAGTGGATGAGCTCTTCTATCTAGTGGATGAGCTCTTCTATCTAGTGGATGAGCTCTTCTATCTAGTGGATGAGCTCTTCTATCTAGTGGATGAGCTCTTCTATCTAGTGGATGAGCTCTTCTATCTAGTGGATGAGCTACCGTAACTCTTCTATGAGGTAAAAGCTAATAGAAGGGCTAATTTCAAAATGCTACCATGACACCATAAACATTTCCACTCAAGCGTTGGCCACAAATAATTGAATAAACCACTGGAATGCTGACAAAAGCAATAAGAAGGAGATAATTGGTTGACCACATTTTAAATCACTTTTCAAGAAGTTCTTTGAAAGTTTATATTTTTCAATTTTGTGCCGCTCAATTGACCGTTTCAAAGTTCCACATCGTCCCCATCTTTTTAGAGTTTTTTTTCAAGAAATTTCAAATTGTTGCACGACTAGCCGTAAACAAACATTTTTTTGTTCTTTTCTCACAAATTTCTGATACCGTATTTTCTGTAATAGTAGTGCAGTCTGTAATTGTAGTGCAGGCAGGAGGGGGGTTGAAAAAATATTGGGTTGTCCAGTTATGAATGCGCGTTTTTACTATTTTGCAAATTTCTCAAGATATCGAACAGATGTAGATGAGTGTTCAATATCATTCGAAAGCTAAAGATCTCCTCTACATTTTGGAATAAAAAAGTTTTTGAATTCATCCAACTTTTTGGGAAATTGACTGCACAAAGGGAGAGGTCGTTTTCGAAAAAACCCATTCCAGCTTAGCTATTCCCCAAGTTTTATGGTGTAAAATAACCGCCCAGAAAAGAAAAGTAAAGATGCTCTGAAATTGCTATATTTTAAAAAAAAGTTGTATTGATATATCTATTGGCCAAACATCAAACGGTTAACTCAATTTGAGCGGAGCCAAAACTTGATCCAAAGGCACCCTTCCATTTTTTGGCCACCTCCTCTTCTGTGCAGTCAATTTGCCCAAAAGCTGAACAAATTCAAAAACTTTTTATATCAAAATGTAGAGGAGATCTTCAGCTTTCGAATAATACTCATATATATCTTTTTCTTGATTTCGGTATCTTGAGGAATTTACAAAATAGTAAAAAACGCGGATTCATAACTGGACAACCCAATAGTAGTGCGCACTACAATTACAGAAAATACGGTATATTGATGATAAAGATTTCTGATATGATGATAAAGACGAGAATTTTCGAGTGAAAAACTCGTTTACCCAAAAAAGTTTCCAAATCGTTTTCATCAAGAACATCAAAAACTTGTGATATTTGATTTTCGATTCTTAAAAAATAACTTCAAATGTTGTCTTTCCTTTTCGATTCACTAAAACAAATACGCAAACAGGAAATCGGTTGTGAAAAAGGCGCTCGGAACACCGTTTTTTTTCAGCAAATTTTCCAAATTTTCCTCGAAATCTGACTTAAAATAAACCTCTAGAAATAAAAATGAAATGAAATTTTCAGAAATTCTTCGTCGAGTAATCGAGCATCTTCCTTGGGTAAATGATTTTTGCAATTTTTGATGTGATTCTGGAGATTTTCTTCATATTTTTCACTTGAAGAATAGTGAAACGATCGATTCTCCTCGATAACTAAAGAATTTTCGATTTTTACCCCAAAAACTTGCATGAAACGAAGAATTTCACTGTCCGATCCACGGATTTCCAAATAGATTCCAACTCTTCCAAATAGATTCAATAGATCCCAACTTTTTCCCGCATTCATAACCCGATTTTTCTGCGATTAAGTCAAGAAAATTTGTGTCGTAGACTCGATCCTTTTTGTACTCACCGATCGACATGATACGATTTACTTTTTAAGACTTTTTCGAATGAAATTGTAGAGTTGAAGTTGATGGGATTCGTTTAGAACGTTTAAATCACCGCTTTCAATCACAATTTGATCCGATTTGAGTCGAATTTTCATTTGATTTCCCTCAAAGTTGAAAGAAATCTCTCCAGGAGCCTCCAAATTGATCACAATTTCGCCGAATTTTCGAATAAATGGCCCATTTTTAGAAAGAATTCACGAAACTTTTTTTTTTTTTTTTTTGTAGAAATTTTAAGGAATCATTTGGGAAAATTGAGTTTAGAACAGGAATTTGAAGTTTGCTGGGTAGATTTGGAGATTTGGAGCATTTGGGTGCAGTTTGAAATGGTGATTTGATCAAGAAATTTTGCAAAGAAAAAGCAAATATTGATTTGAGTGAAAGGCAAAGAGAAGGAAACGATTTGATAACGGGATTTGTGATTTTTCGTGTCACAATGATGCCAAAAGCATTAATGAATTGGATCGAGTTCAAAAGTTTAACGAAGTATATAGAGATTTGCCATTCTTTCATTATAATGTGCCTTTAAACTTGAAAGAGGAAATTTAGCTGTAAAACTTTTGAATTCCAATTGTCGGATAGATAAATTTAAATGGGATAACGACGAAACGAAGAGCAATTACTAAGGCAAGTTAGGTTTGTCTTTCTCTCTTTCTCTTGGCAAGTCTTGCCAGGAGTCTTCCTTGACTTGCCAGGAGAAAGAGAGAAAGAAAAACCTAACTTACCTTAGTAATTGCTCCTCGTTTCGTAGTTATCCGATTTAAATTTATTTAAAGCAATTGCCCGGAAAGCAGGGAGCCTGTTAGAGCCAAGCAAAAGGTCAAGAGTTCCCCTCACCGGCAACCAAATTTTTCTCCTCAATTCCTTCACTTCTTCAAGTCTGTACCCGAGATTTATTACTCTAAATAAGTTCAAAATCAAGCTACTAAGTTCTGGACTTTAACTCCAATCAGCTTTATGTTAATTTTCCTCAATACTCTAAGTTCAAAGTTCCATTTCATCATTGATCTCGAAAATGTGTTCACTGTTTGATGTCTGATGTTCCTTCCCTATTTTCTCCGAAAGAAGACCGGAAATGACGTGATGTGCCCATTTCTTTGTGTCTCTTTCTGTCTTGTTTGTTTCAAAGAGGGAAAGAGTTTTTGGATCATCTTGATCTTCACTGATCCCAGTGCATATCCACGAATAACTTTGGCTATATAATGGCAAAACTTTTGCCTGTAAAACCAGATAACTTTTGAAACCAAAATGAACTATTATCTTGCTCTACTTCTTGCGCCAATTGTCTTCACTCAAATGGCTCATCCACGAGGTTTCAATGGTTTAGGTTTATGTAAAAACTAGGAGATTTTCGTTTTACAAAACAATTTTAAGCCTAAGGTTTGAGTTGTTGAACTGAAAAGTTTTATAAAAATGAAACAAAGTCTTTTCCAAATCAATTCTTCTCAATTAACTCTAGACCTTTGTTTTCCAGGGCATCAAGGTCATCGACAAAGCCACGAATATTACAGTCACGAGCGACATGGACATCACAATGTCCCTGAAAGATGTCGAATCACAAGAGAGAACTCTCAACAACCACATGGAGCGATTTGTTTGTGAGTTTGACAAGGCGAGAAATGAGATTTAAAGTTTTTGCTTGCAAATGTTAGACTTTTCAGACCGCAAGCAACCACCTATTATTTCTACGACATTCGAGCAGAGGAATGCCGATCAGAAATAAATTGGAACAGCTGTCAACTACCATATCAATTTTTATCCATTCATGATTGTGAACATCATTGTCGAAGGAGGCATTAAGTATGGATTATTGATGGATTGGGTACTGTAGAAATAAATTATTTATCAACTGCAAAAACATAAACATTAACATGTAAATGCTTAAGAAATTATATTCATTATAATGTATACCGGTGATTTATTTTGCACACACATAATCACAATTTGCACATTAAGACCTTGGGAATAGTCTATCATTTGTGAGGATGGGACGATGTAGGAGACGATGTAGGTGGAGAAGGAGGAGGCTTTATATGAGCTTGCGCCTGCGACAAGTCTACCCATTTGGATCCCTGGTTATCCCAAACCCGAGGGGAAGGGGCCTAGGGGGGCTGGTCTTGGGAACCAGTTCAGCATATGGGTGCGGTTACCTACAGCACTCATTTCAGGGAAGATATCCTTGACTCATCTGCTGGATTCGAACCAGAGACGAACCGAGCCCAACGTTGCTTAACTTGGGAGATCTGACGGGATACCGTGTTTCAACGTGACGAGACCGTAGTTATTATGAAGTTGAAATCTTGTGAAATCGCAGCCTGCTTGACTCGGCACTAAGTTAATTATTGATATTTAAATATTATATATTTAAATATAAATATTCAATATAAATTTATAAATTGACTAGTTTTTTTTATAGTTTCGAGTTTATATTGGGTTGATGGAAAAGTCCTTTCCGATTTTTTGGAAGAGTACCTTAAATTTGTCCAATTTTGACGTTTTATCGCTCATCCTAAAGCTGAAATCGGAAAGGACTTTTCCATCAACCCAATAGAAAAAGGTATACGCCATTTTTTTGTTTACTTATTTGTTTACTTATTTAAAGCTCAGCTCCTGTCATTCATTATGAAAGTGTATTCTTCAATCTTTAATAGTCGAAATCTTGAATGCGTTAAAAAAAATCTGGTTACTCTTGCAAATGAGCTTATTTTTAGCGAAAAATACAAAGAATCATCCTGCCTTTTTCAAAGAAAATTCTCTGTAAATTGCCAGTTTTTCAAGGCGGATTGGGAAAGAAGTCAGTCTCTTTTTGAGATCCCTTTACCCTTTGAAAACGATTTCATTCTTAAAGTTGAAATGTTCGCTATTTTGAAAGTGATTAAATGGACGTGATTTCAATCATTTTGGATATTGGCATCTTGACGACACTTCCAATTCAATGTCTTCTTGTTTCGATTCTTGCCACAACGGTCACTGTTAGTAGAATTTATGAATTGTGTTTGTTGAATATATGTAAGTAAATAGAATGGGGCAATGTATCTCTTCTTACCTTCAATAACATTCATCTACCAACATACTACAAAAACTACAAACTATACTACAAAAATTTTTGCCTTGAAAAAATGAAATTAGAGTTTAAAAAGGCTTATTCCCTGTGCCACAAGGAGTTCTCTGTGCGCCTCCGTAATCGCTCGCTTTCTGGCACACGCCCTTTTCTTATATTGTTCCATTTCCTTGGGGAAATCAACTTTGCGCAGAGGCGATAACGTGACCAATGAGGCTTAGCCGAGGTGCGTTTATTGCTGGTTGAAAACTGATACCAATTACCCGTCGCTTTCTGCCCTGAAATATGGGTGTCAGCGCAATTTTTGGAAGGCCCTAGGGGCCAAAAATGCTTTTATTTCAGATATTTGGTCGAATCTCTGTTGTCGAATCTTCTGATCCAATTAGACAAACACATTTTGTCCACAATCAAATGTCAATTGATTTCAAGAGACAAATTTATTATCTCAAGGCTGTGAAATGGACGGAATTGGTGATTTGACACAGACAAAAGAGAACCATCGTTCCAAGGCCCTAGGGGCCAAAAAAAGGGTTTCATTTCGAGATTTGGTGAAAGCTTTACCGCAGTACAGAATAATCTAGATTAGAATGTCCAAAAAATTACAAAAAAGAGTAAACCTCCAAATGAAACACTTTTTGGCCCCTAGGGCCTTCCAAAAATTGCGCTGACACCCATATTTCAGGGCAGAAAGCGACGGGTAATTGGTATCAGTTTTCAACCAGCAATAAACGCACCTCGGCTAAGCCTCATTGGTCACGTTATCGCCTCTGCGCAAAGCTGATTTGATGGGGGACAGGGAAGGGTATAGGGGAAGGAAGAGTGTCAGAGAACGAGCGATTATCGACCGCACCGAGAACCCCTGGTTGGTACAGAGATCATTTAATGGTCAAAGGAAAAGAGCATTCTAATACAATAATCTTTAGCCTAAATTCTTATTTTGTAGCTTTTTAAAATAAGTGCTTTTCAAGAAATGGATCGGTCAAGAGGATTCACTCTACTCACCTCCACATACGGACAGTTCTATATAGTCGTTCTCGTAACTTGCCATGCCTCTGTTTTGAAAGCTAAATTTAGTCTAGCTGTTTTTCAACAGGTTTAGAATAGGAAATGAAAAAGAAGTGAACATCAGTTTTTTCAAAACTCCTTTGTTTGTTGAAAATGGCGACATTTTGGTGCCAATTTTGATGCACTTTTGTGAAAAGAGCAACCAACAAAGAGCAAACTTTTGCGTTTCGACTTCCGATTGGTGATAAGAAACTTTCAACGTGAAAATGGCATCGGAAAATAAATGTTCCTTTTCTTTGCAGAACAGCAAGTACTTTTCATTTCTTTTATTTGAAACTGGTGGATTCAAGGTTTGAATATTAATGGAAGTGGAGATTTGGCACAAAACTTGTTGGCTGGGACTAAAAATTTTATAACCATTTGATTTGAAACTATGAGTCAACTTCAACTTCTCTAATTTTTCGAGATTTTTACTGAATATTCATGAAAGCACCTCCCATTTTACTTATTTTACGAGAAAATACAGTACCGAACTAAAAATCAAGTTCCGGTTTTTTTCCCCAACTTTGAAGCACTATAACTCGAGAACTATAGCTTGGAGTCTATAAGTGATTCGCATTTTAGCAATTTTTGTCCCGCTTTTTCAAGGAGACCTCCAAAAATTGACTTATACTCATAATTGTTCGTCTGCACGGAAATCTTTAGTAAAAGGCGAAAGATTTTCTCGGTCAAATGCAGACGAACCAGAGATAGCAAACGGAGGAAAGGAAGGGGTATAAGGAAAAGGAGTATGCCAGAAAGAGAGCGATTACGTTCACGCATAAAGAACGCTTGAAGGACCACTTAACAAGTGTTTGCTATTTTTGCAAAAACACTGCTCCACATAAATATATTGATTCCAATCTTTGAGTGAGTTTTCTGGACATTCCAATCCAATTATACATTTTTTGCACTTGTGAATTTGAAGGACCCAAATTTACATATAAAAATGTATAACTTGGGCTAAACTTCTCTCTTTTTATGGTCTTTTGAGACGAAACGCTAATTTTCCATCACGATTTTGATTTCTTGAATCGATTTAGCATAGATTAGCTTAGATTAGCTTAGATTAACTTAGATTTAGTGTTCGCTAAACTCGCGAGTATTATTTGTTCGTGAAGTTTTGAATAAAAATTCAACTTTTTACTGCCCACAAATAATACGACAGTCCAGTTGCGAATTAAATCGATTATCGTTTCCCCCCACAGCCACTGTAGGTGAATGTTCTACACAAATAGGTAGAGCTGTAGTAGAATTTCGTGACATTGCCTCTAGAGATTAAAAATGATTAGAAAACTGGAAAAGTTGTGTTTTCGTTACTTAAAAACTTTATTAGCTATTGTTTGCATATTAAGGAATATTTTTTTATAAGTAGCAGTCTTCTACATACAGTAGAGGACATTAACTTACGATATTTTTTCTTCTTATCATAATTTTTTTTTCTAAACACGCAAATGAGCTAAAAATCAAACTAATTGTGTAAAAACAATACAAAAATGAAACCCCACTTGCAATCTCCATATTGAGAGGGCAGCTCGCAGAAATTGTAGAGATCTCTCTGAAAGATTTCCTAGAAGTAAAGCTTTTGTTTTTAACACAACAAAAAGCAGCTTCAAAACTGAGACTTTTCAGAATAAACTCTAAAGTTTTTACTTTGACTTTCAGTGATGCATCCGTAACAATAGCAATGATCAACAAGAATAGAAAATAACGCATCGTAAAGTTTAGAGTACGCCGACCAATGTGATGAAAGTCGATTTGACGAGGAGAGAGATTTCATCCGTTTTGTTTTTTCTAAAAAATTCTCTCTTTTCAATATCTTTCTCTTTCTTTTTATAGATTTGTCAAGTCAATCATCGATTTTTTTTTAAAATATGATTTTCGCCCAACAACAAACCCTAACAATTTGTGAAACAATTCTTGAAAAGCTTAGTATTTCTGGTTTACAGTCACACAGTTCTCTAATCAACCTTAAATGGGTTGATTAGAGAAGAAGAACAAGAAGAAGAAGCCACGAAAGAAGCCATTTTAACAACATAGAATACAGGTAATAACAAGGGGAATGGTCCAAAGTTGAGGTGATCGTTTGGGATGCATAGATGATAGATGCCGATTGAGGTGATGACAAAGATTGGGACAAGCTGCGTGGCATATGTGAGGAGAAACATTTCTGTTTCCACAGTTTGATAACTGAAAACATTTCTTTGCTCAACACGGCAGTCATGGCCGAGTGGCTAAGGGTCCGATCTCTTGGTCGGGAGGTCTCTAGGGTGGACAAGGGTTCGATCCCGGCGATGCTTTTTTTGCCTATATTTAGGGCTTACGGGTTATGTTTGTGTATCCCTCATTTGATAGATCTCATGATGAATATTGATAAAGAAAAAAAATCAGCTGCCCAAGGTAACTCTACAACGAGAAATAGGACTGACAAGGAGGAAAAATCACGTTTTCTGTCTCCTCTCCTTCACTTAAACTCTTTACTGAATCCACATTTTTGAATAATCTTTTTTTGCATGTAATAGAACTTGAATGAAACTAAAAAATAAACTTTAATTAATTATAAAAATTTAAGATGTTTCTATAAAAAAAGTTCAGTAAAATTTGGCTTAAATCAATAGCTTTGAAATGTAAAATCTAATATATAAAGCAGAAGCTGTCCATCCGTCTGTGTGCAGCCATTGGCAAAAAGGGG